TTGCTTTCTGCACTTTCTGCAGGATGTCGCTTCAGGGAGATTATGCTATCGATATGTGCAGGGTGCACTGCAGGTGTTTAACATAACACATTTTCACACAGAGCAATGAGGCAACGCAGAGCCAAGCTTCTGAGGGAAAAGCCTTCAACAAAAGAGCCCCGCACATCGCACTATAGTGTCTTATAGAAATGGTCTGGTGCAGACTTTTCTTACACTTGCCACTGACTGCTCTGTTATAGCACATCCTTCACCACCCAGCATAAAAAGAAATCACACCTTTACCATCATCAGATGAAAATAGCCCTGTGTGTCACAGGTACAGAAGCATGTTGGCACGTCTCTGTGAGAACTGGCTTGAGCATGCAGACTAAATTATGGGAGAGTTTATGGGCCTATAATGCAATAACACGGCGCTGCTGAAACAGCAGGTGATCAAAGTGACACGTCCCCGTTATCTGCGCAGCCAGATAGAGGAACAATAAAAAATTTAACCGTCAGCAGGTGTGACGACGTGATAATCATAAAGTTGACACCATGCATGACAGGCGATGATCTCACCCTCTTAGTTCATCAGTATTCTGTCTGTTGGCCTATTTCTGACCAAAAACACACACACACTCCTGCTTCTTTTCTGGCTGCAGAAAAGCCTTTGTGAAGCTGAGAGGGACATGTGTGCAATGATGTCATGTTGGGAGGCTGAGCGGGAGGGGGGGGGGGTTACATTGAGATGCTAATGTCCCCTCATAGTGGAGGGGACAGCTGGAGGGCCACAGAGGGATGGCGTAATGTCTCCCCTCATATGAACCACAGGGGAAAAGCAACAGAGGGGTGCAGGGTGGTCATTCACCCAAATCAATGCCCCCCCAGACTGTTTAGGTGTGTGTGTGTGTGTGTGTGTGTGTGTGTGTGTGTGTGTGTGTGTGTGTGTGTGTGTGTGTGTGTGTGGCTCATTTTCCCCATTAATAGACAAGGTAAAAAAGCCAAGTGAAATCTACACAAAAGCTAAGAGCAGATTGTATTGACAAGACAGTCAGTGATGTAACAGTGGAAATCCCATTAAGAATAAATGCCAGGCAGGTGCTGCATGCGATTTTGGTAAGAATCGTGATATATTTGGGTATTTATTTGAAATGATGATGACGTTTGCAACAAAAGGTTTTGAATAAATGGACTGAAGCCCTTTATGACTTTAAGTCTATCCCTTGCTGCTTTAGTTGTTCAGAGCTCTTTCAAAAATAAATCCTGATCTAAAATTAATTCGAACTCGTTATCAGGAGCGTTTACTTTCCTGCATCGGTGATGAGGTGAACAGCATTTTATGGTTCTGACCTGCCAAAAGCAACTTTAGCTCATTCATAACCCTAACACCAGAAGAGCTATAGCAGAAAAAGATGTAAGTACATTTTTCAACATATTTTTTCTAGCCTTCCTGCCTTGTAGCTGTAAATAATAATTTATATTAGGAAGAGTGGTAAAAAAAAATATGAGGAAGCAGTAGGTGTATGCATGGTGTTGCTATTTTGAAAGAAGACAAAATGATTACAGCATAAATATTTTAGGCTTCTATAGCTTCTTATTTTAGTGATTTATATATTGACAAGAGCTAGTGTATCCAAAAACAGCAGTCTGCATGAATTACCTTGAGATTACTGACCTTTTACAATAACTCTGACACGCTATGCAGCCTTCCCGCTATCTGCTGAAGTGTTGCTCTCTCTCGCTGCCACACAGGATTTGAGCCACATAGATCTCTTAAGGTTGTAGAAAATATGCTTTCCTTTTAAAAAAAATTTTTACAGCTTCTTTTATTTCTTCTGATTTTATTTGTGAACACTTAACACTAATAATATCTAGCTTTTAGTCTTCTACCCACAGTAAAAACTGAACACAAGCACCAGAGAAAGACGTGTTTATTGAGTTTCCATTCAGCTGGTCACCAGTGAGGGCTGATCAAGTTGAAAAAAATTTACTAAACTAATCAATACCCCAGTTTATTGATTTAACAACAGTGCATATTGATTATCTAATCACATACAGAGAATAGTCTCATTAGATTTTTTTTTTTTTTTGCATGTTAATAAATAATGGAATAATTGTCCTCTAATCTCACCTCAATTTAACTTTACAGCTCCATCTACTTTAAAACTAAGACATAGCAATGAGGCCTCAGAAATGGATGATTTACATTTTTTATTTCTTTTTTACATTTACAGTCATGTCTATGTTTATTGTCTCTCGTCCTGAGAGTCGGGGGTAGAACTGAAGAGTAAGTGTTTATTAAAAAGAGAATTTCACAGAAGTGACAAGGAGCAAACAAAGAAGGCCTGAGCTCTTGGCTCCAACAGGGGAAGAATGTTAAATAATGAGTTGCATAAATGATGAAGTGGGCAGAGAGGAACGGAAAAAGGATGCCGATGGCGACACGGTGCCCTCTTTCCTGGTTGTGTGTTTTCCTTCTTGCCAGAACATTTCTTACTTTTTTTTTTCTTTTTTTTTTTTTTTTAAACAGTGTGTGTTTAGAACTTGGTTAGTCACATCCTGTCCGGGGTACATTTTCATGACTCCAGCGTGACAACTTTTTCTTCTCGAACAGAGAACAACTTGTGTTCGTTTTCTAAATGTGCCGTTGATTTATTTTTGCCTCTCAGCGTGTTTGGTTTGTCTGCTAAGTTCAGTGCGGGAGGATGTCAGTTTTCCTCAGTATCACACTGGATTACGGGTGAACTCATCTCTCTGTTTGACTTCTGATGTCATCCCCATGGACAGGGCTTTTTCTATGACTTCATTGTGAGTGTACCGTTTGTTTGGATTGGACTGAACACATCATTCACATGTGGGGACTGTTTAGCCGTCTCTCTGGACTTTTTGGATATCATCATGTCCTTTTCTGTGTTATTTTTTTTCATCCTGGCAACAGTCAGAAGGACAAGTTAAGCCAGCTGTCATCAACATCTCTGCCCTCCCTCATTGTCATGGCAGCCTTAAGTAGAGTCTGTTCAGGTGACGAAGTGCCAATAGCATGCTATCTCCTCTGTGACTAACGTCCATTAGTGGCAGCAGTGTAAATCTTTGACCACAGGAACGTGTTTTGTAATTGACGTAATGCCGCTGTAATGTAATCGCTCCTAAAAAAGCAGCCGAGCGGACCCATTCTGGCTCCTTATCTCTGACTCCAATCTTCCTTCATGCCAGTAACCCCTTACTTACTCCTTCAGTAGCACGCTCTGGTCTTTAAATGTTAATTTAACACGTCTTGGTCCACTGCAGTAATTATTTATCCAGATCAAAGAATGCAAATGCACGCACACACGCCCACACACACACACAAACACACACACACACAAACACACACACACACAAACACACACACACACACACACATGCCCACACACACACTTTCTCCTCAGCCACTCACTATGTGGAACATCCTGTCCACAGACCTTCTAACAACTCTCTAACAATGTCTGCACACAAAGAGGGAAATGGTTGCTGTCTGACGTAAGGCGTTGTTTTTTTTTTGTTTTTTTTAATCCTGTTGATTTATCTGCCTGCAGGAAAGGAGCATTTCCTCAAACCTCTGCATTAGATCCTATTTATTTCTCTATGTATGCATGCTCTGTGTCAGAGGTTCTCTGGGAAAAGGTAAACCAGGAAGGAGCCCTTCAAAAACCATTTCCTCTTTCTGTTTCATCAATTAGAGGGAGGCACTCTGCTACAGGGAGGCCTAAGGCAAATATCTCAACAAATATAGGCTTGTCCTAGCATGACAGCCCTCCCTCAGAGTTTACATTAACTTTTTCCACCTAAATCGTTATCTGATCATTCTTTCTGCATCCATCCATCTCCCCGCTCCACCCCCTCTGCCGAGGAAAGCACTGATGTCATCGCTCTGCCGGTTGCCATTAATAGCTGGAAACAGACAGCCCTTCTTCACTTTCCTCTTAAAGGCACAGTGCACCCAGAACAGCACTGGGTCATGATTGTTTCACACAGTCCTAATGTGAATATCTATTATTGATGTTGGAGGACATCTCATACTTTTTTTTTTTTTGGAGTTTGCATTGGCCTTTATGTCTCTTTATCTGGCTTACAATCAGATCTGCTTGGACAGAGTTGTGTGTGCTTCTTCTGAGCAGTGATGTCATGTCTCATTCACGCTCGCTCTGTGATCATTTGTGTGCATGTGTTTAGCGCTCGCTCTACATCCCACATTGGGTCAGGCAGGGCTGAACGTAGATTAGGTTCTAATCTCCTTCTCTGGGGCTCAAAGTTTTCCTTGAAGCTCTCCGTTTTCCTTTCAGCACTCTGCACCCACTCCTCAACACACACTCTGCTAAGCCCTCACCCTGTTTCCTACCCTGTAGTTATACAACCACACTGCTGCAGAGTAATTATGATTATTATGGGGATGTGTGTGCGTGCATGCATGCGTGCGTGTGTGCTTGCATTAGGTAGAATAAGTATTAAAGCAAGTGAGAGTGAATTTTGAGCATATGCTGAAAACTAGATCATGATCTCCATGTGCTAACATGCGTGTGTGCACGGGTGTGGGTGTGTGTGCGTGTGTAACCGTGTGTGTGGGTGTCAGTGGGATGTTTCTGGGCCTCTGTCCTGGCCCTGCACCTGTGGCCTCTCTCATTCCCTCAGCCTGACGCAATGCACTGCTACAGGACATGAGCTCATGCAGGAAACAGAGCCACACACATACACATATGCCAAAAGTGGAGCCGCCTGCCTCTTAAAGGGCCAGACGTGCATTCCTGGCCGCCCAGCAGTTAACCCAACTTGCACACAGAAGCACAGAGAGCCTCCTTTCTTTCACTTCTGTTTCACCAAGCAGGACCCAGACATTGTAGCCCAGATTCAGCCTCCAAGTGTCTATTGAACGTGTGTCCATGGCGCTAATGGTGACGAAAATGGAGTTTCCACTGTGGTATGTGGTTGTTCAGTGGAAAATCATTAGTGCACCTAACCGGTTCTTGCCTTCTCTGTCTCTGCAGGAGGTTTCGCAGCTTTTTCCTCCTGTTTCCCCGGCCTGTGCGAGGGGAAGCCTGCCACTGCACTCCCAATGAGCTTGTCCCAGCCCTGTTTACCTGTGGCAAACGTAGGACCAACTCGCATCCTGCCACACCTCTACCTGGGTTCACAGAAAGACGTTCTCAACAAGGTGAGATTTAATCACCAATTTCGATGATAAGACTGGCAGAATAATCTACCATGCATAACCCCCAAACCTGTTTTTGCCAATCTCTTTAGGATTTGATGTCTCAGAATGGCATCACTTATGTCCTGAACGCCAGCAACACCTGTCCCAAACCGGACTTCATCAGTGAGAGCCATTTCATGCGCATCCCAGTGAACGACAACTACTGCGAAAAACTGCTGCCCTGGCTGGACAAAACAAATGAGTTTATAGGTAGGAATCTGCAGCACATTTACTCAAGTTTCAACTCAAGGTAGAGATTAGAAACGCAATTGTAAACCATGGAGGTGGACTTCTGTCAAATGCTGTACTACTCAGAAAAAACAAAATAACATGAAATTCTGTACATTTTCATTTAGAGTATAACATCCAACTCTAATTAGGTCTTAATGCCAAAAACGGTGAAAATGCTACTTTTCTTACATTTAGATTTTCAACTAAATATTATAAAATGCACCCAAGACTTATTATAAATGCTGAAATAGCTATTTAGTAAGCCGATTTTGACAGATTCTAACTGAGTCTTTAAAGGCTAAACGTTAGCCAGTTTGCAGATTACAAATATCTTGGATTTTGTCATCTTATTCTACTGAGTCCCCCAAAATGCAGTCACCATGCTGATTTAAAAGTGGAGAAGGCTTTTGCAATGCTTATGTAACAGACTGTTGTTGGCCAGCTCAAAGCCTTTATTAGCCGACTGTCAAAACAGCTGAGGAACATTCCAAGAAGTACTTCCTTTTGTGCTTCAAAATTTCAAACATAAACAGATGGTGTCAAGTTTAAAGCAACCACCTTCATATGGTGTGCTGGGGTTGTGACTATAGCTTACAGTTACTGCACTGGACAGTTGGATAGCATAAAGAAAGGTAGACTTTACATTGACAAGTAATAATATCAGAGATTTTCATATTTCATGATCTGACGCAACATTTTTTTTGTTTTTGTTTTTTGTCCCTAAGCACAGAATGTTTTAAAATGTTAGTCCTAAGATGTCGGCCTCCTTGTTTGTCTTTTGAGAGTTATTGTCCTCTGAATAGGAACCAGAAGAGGCACTACAGCTTTCTACCAGTTTTCACAAAAATCCTTTATCAAAGAATAGACATTTCAAGGGTTTACATTATTGTATGCGTGAGTATATCTGTTTGTTTGTTTTTTGTTACAATCTGTTCGTTTTGCTCCCAACAGACAAAGCTAAGGTGTCAAACTGCAGAGTGATTGTGCACTGCCTAGCTGGAATTTCACGATCAGCCACCATCGCCATTGCATACATCATGAAGACAATGGGCTTGTCATCAGATGATGCCTACAGGTATGTTTGCCCCTCCCACTCACCTCCAGTTAAGCTAGGGTGTCATCGTTTATGAAAGGATGAAAGAAGAAGAAATCCCGTTTTCATTATGAAATGAAATTGTTAAGACGGTTGCCAGGTTGCAGTTTGTGCAACAGAGTTTGTTTTGGCCTTAAAGGACAAAGCATTTATTGCATATTGTGCACCAGCATAATAGTGGCCCCTCTCAGACCTCATATAACTTTACACAGGATTTATTGCCATACTTTGCTTTCAAATAGTTTTCAGACAACTAATCTTTTAAACTCTTTTTTTCTTTCTGACAGGTTTGTAAAGGACAGGAGGCCGTCCATATCCCCAAACTTTAACTTCCTGGGTCAGTTGCTGGAGTTTGAGAAGGGCCTGCGATTACTACAAGCTTTAACCACAGATGACAAGAAGTCTGAAAACAACTCCAAACAAAGCTCTGAGGTTAATGGGGTCTCTGCCGTTTTTGAGATCAACGGCCACCACACCAGCTGTGACTCATCGGTGGCAGATCCTCACACCCAGACTGAACCCAAGTTACCATCTCCCACTTCCCTCCAGCAGGGCTTTAACGGCCTGCACCTCTCGGCAGAGAGGATTATGGACACTAACCGTCTCAAACGCTCCTTCTCTCTGGACATTAAGTCTGTCTACTCTCCTAGCAGTCCACATTGCCCCAGCATGGCACCCACTCATTCTGAAGACATCCCCAAACTGTGCAAGCTCGACAGCCCGGGGACCGGCACCTCCAACGGTGTCTGCTCCCAGTCGCCCGTCCTCGACAGCCCCGGCTCTTTCGATTCACCATTCCCCTCACCGAGCAGCGGGGGTAGCATTGGGGGTTTGGGTGGAAGTGAAGGAGTCCATCGATCTGGCACATCCTCATCCAGATCCAGAAGAAAAACTAAGCACAGCTGCGGCAGTTCTCCAGTCCACTCCCATCTGCAACATCCTCCCCAGTCCCTCAGCTTGTCGCTGGACCACAAGAGCCCCAGCCTGGAAGAAAACCTCAGGGGTTCCTCGCTCCTCTCGCTACCCTCCCTGCCATCTTTGGGGTCTGGGGCTATGTGGACCAAACACAGAGACACTGTCCAGGCTACAACTCCCGTCACTCCAGTCACCCCAACCACGGACGCTCCCTGGCATTTTGGAGCAGACGAAGGTGGTGAGGGAGAAATGGAGCTGGGAGGAGGAGACGGGAGGGGAGAGGAGTCATCGGTGCGGTTTGGTAGCAGCTCAGCATACGTGGCGTTTGGATGTAGCGAAGGCGCCAGGTTACGGGACAAATCCCAGAGGGAGAAGCTCTCAGGGCCTCAGACACAGAGGGACCACTGGGACTCCACGTCCGCCAGCTCGAGTAATGGTGTTCCTGCGTCAGAAAAGCAGTTCAAGCGCCGCAGCTGTCAGATGGAGTTTGAGGAGGGCATCTCCGAGACAAGGTCCAGGGAAGAACTGGGGAAAATCGGGAAGCAGTCAAGCTTCTCCGGAAGCATGGAGATCATTGAAGTGTCCTGACAGATAATGGACCTGGTGAGTGCTGTCCCATGGGGCAAAAAGTGGACCTGTTTTAAGGGAGTGCCAGAAGAGGAAAAATGAGGAGGAGCCAACAAAGGTTGTTTTTTTTTGTGCTCCCCTCCACAGTGTTAAAGACTCCAATTGAGGGAAGGACAGATACAAGCTGAGAGTTAATGTGAACAGTTTCCAAACCTGGACTGACAGAGCCTCAGATGTGATGTTTTAGGTAGCCATACTTATTCTGAACTCTTAGAAATTTGAGGAAATCCTGGGGCAAGGGGAGATAAAGGTGTGGCTGTTGGTACTGCATTTTTTTTTTTTGTTTGTTTTATTTCTGTCACAGGTTAAAAGATATCACCCCAAGTAAGCATCACATTGCATCCTGATTATACAAAATTCCCTGATGTTCAGACTCATACTGTTTACCTGTGGTTAAATGTAGTGTGGGCTTCAGTGGGTGTGTAGCTTGTTTTTTGATCCGAGCCCCATGTTTCGTCCCGAAGTTCCACCCCCTGTGTCAGAGAACCGTGCACGGCTACATCCGCCCCACCACCACCTTTTTCCCCCGTGGTCCGGCCCGCCCCAAAATGCTGCAAAAGAACACCACCGACTGTAGTGGACTCCTTAATAGTACTGCGTCCTCCTACTGTCACAGCACAAAACAGAGAGGTCCAGCGGACTTCACATAAAGACGGTACTGCATTCAATATAATGAAGGATCCTCTGTATTCTGTTGAGGAAAAGACTTGTAACAACGGACAGTGTGTCCCTCCAAAGCACAGTGCATCTATCCTGACTTTGGCTCCTTTTGTTTCAAATGTTAACAGCATGATAAGACTGAGGTTTCCGGATCCCCCCCAGGCCTTTCCCCACCATCTATGGCCAGAAGAGAGCATGCACCTGAAAGGCTGACTACAGACAGACAAATACTATATATATACAATATGAATATATATAGCAATTTTAATGAACTTCTGTTCAGTTATAGTTTTAATTTATTGTACTGCTTCATTCTGGTAATGAGAAATAATATAATGTTTTGTGGATTCTTTTTTTCTTCTTCTTCTTCTGTTGAATTGTTATTATTATTTGCTGTATGGTATTTATGAACACACACTCATTACAAATACACACATTCAACAAAATTCAAACAAGCAATATGTGCTGTTCCTTTTGTTTGAGAGAGTGATGTATGACTTTGAGATGCACTTTTCTGCTGAGTGATTACCATTCACATCCTGACAACACGACACTCCAAAAGCCAAGTTTTTGCTTCTGTTTTATAAAAAAGAAAAGGCACAGACGTCCCACTGATGAGATCTGTAACCGGACCTCTGTGTTGTGAATTCAGGGGTTTGTCACAACCGAGGGCCCAATTATGACTGAAAAGACTGTTTTTACTCAGCTGTGTGTCGATAAGAAAAGAGCAGCCTAACAACTCGTTGACCATACTCTTATATATGTTGAAACAAATGAGCCTGTCTTACAGCCTTGGCTGTGAACAAGTATTTGTCCCTCACTGATTTGTTTTGTTTCTTCCTCTATATTTTCCCCTCACACTTAAGTGTTTCTGGTCATCAAAATAAGGTTTTTATTTGGCAAAGATAACCTTAGTAAATACAAAATCCAGTTTTTTTTTAACAACAGAAAAAGTTATTCAACCAACCTAAAAAAAACAACAAAAAAAACAAATGTATATTTAAAAAAAGAATTGCTCCCAAATCCTAATGACTGGTTGGACTACCCTTGACAATCCTTTAGGATTTTCTCGAATAGAACAAAATTCGTCGTTCCATCGATTACCTCAAGTCGTGCAAAGCAGCCTCAGACCATCACTCTATCATAATAATGTTGAATGCAGGTAAAGAATACAATTTTTAAATACTGCGTTAGTTTTTATGCCATATTTGATGATGGGATGCAATCCTTTCTGCTTTTGTCTCTTCAGTCTAAGTATAAGAACAGTCCTCGTTATGGTCATCAGTTTTCACCATAGAGCTTTCTCTGGATGCCAGTTTTCTCCGTCTCTTCTTATTCCTCAATGACCAGAGCTAAGACAAGTGAGACATGTAGAACTGTAGAGGTTCTTCTGTTGTTAACGATCCATATTGATCTGTGCTGGACTCGCAAAAATGTAGACACGACTACTGTCTAACGCAGGGGTGGGCAATCGTGGTCCTCGAGGGCCGGTGTCCTGCAACTCTTAGATGTCTCCTTGGTCCAACACACATGAATCCAATAACTGAATCACCTCCTCGGTGCAGTCAGGTTCTCCAGGGTCCTGCTAACGACCTCATTATTTGACTCAGGTGTGTTGAAGTTGAGACACATCTAAAAGTTGCAGGAGACCGGCCCTCCAGGCCTGGAGGTGCCCACCCCTGGTCTAACTGGTAGCAACAAGTAACTCACGATTTGACGGTAGAATTACGTTTTCTCATTGGGTCAGGTTAGCACAGGCAGATTTTTCCCACCTTAACAGATAAATTCAAAATCGCAACCTGCTGTTCCTGTCTTACTCTGGTTGTCTTTGTCTGATATGCATTTCTTGATGCTATAAAATATGTAAGTGTGAGGAAAAATGCTGAAACAGAAAACGAAAATGTGCGAGGAGCCAATAGTTTTTCACATCAACGTGTATGCTAACAGAAGTACGCTGTCACGGTTTTCAGATCTGGTCACAGCTGAAACTACACATTCACGGCACACTGTACGCCCCTCTCACTTACAGTACATATTCACACACGAATCTCTACATGCACCCTTTCGTTCATTCTCAGGGGATCTTTTGGTGAGCCAAGCCCAACACAGGGTACACAGCTGCTGGTACATCAGCACAATGCATGTCCATGAAGCACCCTCTCTCTCTCTCTCTCT